GCGGTTGCTTCGTGAAAACTTCGGGTGCGAAAGTTTTTAGTAACAAAGTTCCGCCTTCTTCTAGTTCTTCTTCCCTGAGCAGAGAGCCACCAGAAGCCCTGTTGCTTCATCCGTGCGCTCGTGGTTGTAAGAATCTCTCGGGGACTGGCTCGACGGCCCCCTTCGTTGTTCGCGCGTGTAAGGATTGTGGGCGCAATGCCAAGAAGGAGCGGTGCGAGGCACTGTTCTCCCCGTTTGAGTGTCCGCGCGACCGCGTGGGCGACAGGGGCAGCGCGCCCGACGTCGTTCGTGCGTTCTGTTGTCAAGAAGGCCGCTGCTGAGAAAGTTGAACGCGCTTCCAACCTCGAGGCGGAGGCGATCGAGGATATCATCGGGATGATCGCCGCGTCGCTTCTGAAGAGCTCAAAGTTGTTGAACATGTTTTGAAAGCGTGCTATGTCGATCTGTCAGGGCCCGGGCGACATCAGCACAGGTGAGTTGAGTTCCTTGCTTCGCGATTGCGTCGCCGAGGTTGCAGATGGTGCCCTTGTCGGGGTCATGGCTCCAGCGTCTTCTGCGTCGGCCGATGCATCGTCGATGTCAAAACTTCCGTGCGACCGATGTCTTTAAGGACGAAGGTGCATGGGCTACTGGGCTACTTTAGACGAGGGATGCAATTCTCCTTGTCGCGGTAACGCATGGGCTCTTAACGCAGAATACAAGTTCGAGTAATTAGGTTTCTTTCCAACATGGGTTCGCAGGGGGCGTGGCACTTACAGCGGTATCGGGGGCCAGGCCGGTAGTTCGACGACAGGTGAGAAAAGCCTCCCGTTCCGTATCGTCGCTTCGCATGGTGCCGTGAGTTCTTGTCTGGAATCCAATGAGTTGAAAGATTCTGACCGTATTCCTCTTCTGCTGTCTCTCCAAGCGCAGGCGTCTCTCGGTTTCTCTCTGGCCTTCTTCTCATTCGCTTCGATCAGTTCGATCCAGGTCACATTGCAGATTCTATCCGTCCGTTGCGCATTTCATGTCAAGCCGCCTGCGACCAGCCGTGCTTCGCCGCGCACCGCGGCATCGTCGATCGCTCCCATGACGACGAGGGTGCCCGGGTGGCTGCCATGGGGCCCCCCAAGGCCGCGGACGCTCCTCCGCAGCCGCAGGGCGCGAAGTTCGCTGTGATCATGTTGGGCGTGGGGAACTTCAAGCAGGGCCCACGAGTTTCTGGTTCAACAATGCGGTCGGATTACATCCGCAAAGACCTTCGTTCCAGTCGCGAGCTCTCCACCAGGGGCCGTGAAGGTGAGATCATTGTCATTGCTTTGTGTGAAGCCGATGAGAAGATTGCAGAGTTTGACAGGTGCATCTTGGTCGACACGAGGGCGTTAAATGGCCCTGCGTCGACGCGTCGCATCGGCCGCCGCCCGAAGATTCTGAGGAATTTGGCTTGCAACGCGCGCTTCCCAGACATCGCGGAGCACATCGCGAGGTCTCTGGCGAAGTTTTCCACATCGGAATCGGCGTGCATAGTCTCGATCTGCAAGTCGGGCAGGCATCGCTCAGTCGCTGTTGTTTATGCCATCAAGCAGTTCCTCAAGAGCTATGGCGTCGACTACACTCCAGCCCACCTGAGCAGCCGCGAGTGGGATGCGAGGACCTGCGGGGGAAGATGCGACGACTGTGTGCATGAGAGTGAGTAGGCCAAGGACATGGCGAACGACGCCACCGACAAGATGATCTCGCTCATCGCCACTTCCTTTGAGAAATGCGCCGCGCCGCCGCCTGATCTCATGGTCGAGCGAAGCCTCGATGGGCTGAGCTAGCTCGTCGCGAGGAGAAGTGCCCCCGCCACAACGTCCACGATGGGGTCGACGACGAGGACGTCGCGACGGTGATCAGGGGCCATATCAGGGCCATCTGGAGGGATCGCAGGGGCGACGGGTTCAACGAGGGCGATTTCAAGAAAATGATGGACAAGTATCCGGGTCGCGAGCTGCAGTTCTACCTGCGCGTGCAACGAAGATGGCCGCAGTCCCGCTGGATATATGAAGTTCGTCAGGTGGGCCAAGGGGTGCGCCGCCACTGGCCGTTTCCCGTCGCCCCCAGGTGCAAGTTTTGTGAGCGCGTTTGTCGCCGCCTCGTCTTCTGCAGGCCCGAGCCGCCCTGGGGTGCGATCAGCGCCCGGAGTCGGAGCAGGAGGATCCAGCTCCCGAGAAGAGGCCGCGCCTGGGCACCACCGCCAAGGGCAGGTCCGAGGCGAGCCCGCCCGGGGCCGCTTCTGGTACATATCGGCAGCCAGCCGCTGTGCCCAAGCCAAGGGTGCCGTCGGTGCCGCCTCCTGCGCATCTGATGGGGAAGCGAGTGCCGCCGCCGCCTCCTGAGGCTCCAAGGAAGGTGACGCCGCTGCCGCCTCCTCCGCCGCCGCCAGCAGGCGTGGCAGGAGGGCGCCGCGAGGAGAGTGCCGAGTTTGACGCATCAGGATCTCCAGACAGGGGCCTGAAGGTGAACGATGACAGGACCCGAG